CTGGTGGTAGCGTGGCTCGTCTGTGAGCCAGGGTGCTGGTGGTTCTCGAGGCACGGGGTGCTGCACGTACTAGCTGCTCACAGCAGGTCAGGTCTGCGCACGCGAGGGCCATGCCGCCGTTCACACCTACCACCAGCTTGACAACCTCTACCACCGTCAGTTCGGCCCGCTGGTGCAGGTACCTCACTTGCCCACCCTGCTTTGTCATGGGGTTCCCGTCTTTGATATGGATATGATTCAGATAGATCAGGCATTGCATTTTCTGTATGCTGATGATTAAAGTGCTGCATGTTCATATTATCCAGCTGTTTGTAGTCTAGGAGCCACTGCTGTGTGTAGTCTAGGATCCCTTGCTGTGTCAGGCGTAGACTCCCCTGCTACGTTAGGCGTAGACTCCCCTGCTACGTGAGGCGTAGGCTCTGTTAGGGATCCCTTACTGGACACCGCCACGGTGGCCTCTCCTTTATCTTCGACTCTGGCATGTCTCATTGCTTCTTTAGAGACAGTACTGCTATCACATCGCTTTTCGCGCCTGTCCGTGTCGCACTAGCAGCTATCGCACGCAGCACTACCATTCTCCCATGTCGAGCTGTCTCCTCCGGCTCCCTCACCGGTCTGCACATCTCATCGTTTTCTAGGAACCTACAGTGGCGGATTAAATTGTCCACATGTTTTGCCTTTTTTGGCATTTTTATGAGTGCAGAGGCGTATACATTAAGCCTTAATGTACGGTGTGCATTAACGCTGAGAAGTTCAGTTAGAGCAGTCACTCCAGTGTTCAAACACCAAAGTAGTACCACACATGGTCCTTAAACTCCTAAGCATAGCATGGGAGAACATGTGGACAATTTGTACCGGAAAATGGTATCACACTAGATTCTAGGAAAACTAGTACCTAGTCCAGCGTCCCTTTGCCCGAATCACTGCCTTGATCCTCCTCGGCAGGCTGTCGATCAGGTTTGCACACACCTCCGGCGGTATCTTGTCCCATTCCTCCTGCACCCTCTCCCACAGCTCCAGCATTCCCCTTGGCGGCTTTTCGTACTTCCCCAGCTGCCTTTTCAAGTATGCCCACAGGTGCTCAATTGGGTTAAGGTCCGGGGAGCACGACGGCCATTCCAGCACCGCGTACTCCTGCTCCCCAAGCCAGTCTTGGACCAGACGACACCTGTGCTTGGGATCATTGTCGTGCTGGAAAATGACCTCTGAGGGGGAAAGCTTGAAAAAATCGATGGTCTGTTTGAGCTCATCTTGCAAGATGCTGCGATACAGCGGCCCATCCATCCTGCCATCTATCTTGCACATGAACCCCGCCCCCTCATACGTCATGCAACCCCACACCATCACAGAACCGCCCCCATGCTTAACTGTCTGTTGGACTTGGTGGCTCCGAAGGCTGGTGCCCTCGCGAATCCAGGCGTACGCACGTCCGTCGGAGCAGTAGCGGTTAATCTTCGTCTCGTCAGACCAAATCACCCGCTTCCAGTCCTCCAGCGTCCAGTCGGCATGCGCCCGCGCGAAGTCGAGACGATCGCGGATGTTTTTCGGTGAGAGCCTGGGTTTCTTGGGCTGATGCACGGCGATCAGCCCCGCGGATCGTAAAGAGTTGCGGACCGTCTTCGAGTCTACGGCGAGATCGTGCTTCTCCAACAACATCTTGGCCGCGTCTGAAGAGCTTTTCGCCTCGCCGCTAGTAATCGCACGTATAACTCCGCGCTGGAGACGGGTTGTGATTAAGCGGGGGCGGCCGGCCGAAGGCATCGTAGGTCGCACCTCCTCGCGACTAGTCTCCTCAGCGAGTTTCATACCGTAATCGTGCACGGTGCTCTTGCCTATGCCAAGAAGTTTCCCTATTTTCCTAGTCGAATGCCCCGCACGCAACATGCTTCTGATCCTCGCGCGCTTCTTCTCATTTAACGGCTTCATAGCGATGCGGTCGTAGGCTCGCTTCCGGACTAACAACTAAGCTAGGAACTGGTGCGCGTGACGATGTACACACTGAGCGACGGGGGAAAATAGATCTACTCTTCCGCTCGGTAGGAAATGTCCACATCGACAGTCGAGTAGTAAATTTCAACCCCACTTTCCGTTAGTGTCACAATCGCGCCAAGCAAGAAACGGATGAAGCAGAACTCAAAAACCGAGTAACAGAATGGAAAAAAACGGGTGTTACTATTTTCGAAACATGTGTTGCATAACGATACGTTTCAAAGTGTTAAACATCCGGGCAATTTAATCCGCCACTGTAATAGGTGTCGATCACCTCCAGGACCGATGAGTCACCACCATGTTCCCTGGCCGCGAGAGAAACGCAGCTTGCATAGACACAGCCATCGGTCGCCACTTAGCCACTTTTGAGCGTAACCCAGCGTCATGTCGCTTTACACTACGCACTACGTCCCCGCCGGTTGCTGCATCTGCTGAGGTAGTCGTGTCGTGCTCTTGTCGCTCCCTCACCCACCAAACCCTCATGTGGCACCACTGCTTAGGTCACCCTGCACTCCCGCGCCTTAAGCACATGTCCGAGCACAATCTAGTTACTAGCCTTTCTGTATTGCTCCCAGCCCTGCCTGCCTCCGTAATACCCCTCTACACCTCCTGCGTCGAGGGATGGCAGCGCGCCACCCCCCACTCCTCTTCATTTCGTTCTATCACAACGCTATTTTAGACAGTGCATATGGACGTGTGTGGCCCTGCCTTTGTCCATGATCTTAGTGGGAAGCACTACCTCGTAGTCATCGTTGATGACTTTTCGTGTTTCACCACAGTGTTCTCACTGGAGCGGAAGGCCGACGTGCGTACCGTTCTCCTACTGTGGCTACTTACTGTTCTCACCCATCACCGCTTGCCCGTAGTTCGATTGCACTCTAACCGTGGTGGAGAGTTCGCCTTGGGCACTCTAAGCCAATTCTGTCGTGCGGAGGGCATCCGCCAGACGTATAGTACACACTGTCAGACTCCCCACAGCAGAATGGGGTTGCAAAGTGGCGCATCGGCCTGGTCATGGAGGTAGCTCGTACCTCCATGGTCCACGCCGGTGCACCCCATTTTCTATGGTCGTTCGCCGTGCGCTACATTTCTCACCAGCCCCGTGCCCTCTCCATATCCCATACTGGTACAGCCCATCGCTATTTTGTGACCCGTGTAACCGTTGTAAGGCTTGCAAGCCTCGATGCCTTTTGCTCTGCACTACCGATACTTCTACACCCAAGCCCACGCGTTTATATGTTGAGTCGACTTAAAATCACCTTTTAAAATCAACTCAAAGAGCCCTTCTGAGTCAACTCCAAATCCAACTGTTGCTCAACATCTGGCTCTGCCACGCATCCGGCTATAGTGCTGCTCCCAAGCCCACGCCTTCCAGTCCCCACCCTAGCCTACTCCCTTTCACCTCTCCCCCAATCCACGCCAGGCTCGTCTCCTCCAGTGCCCCTCGCCACCTCTCCCCAACCTGCCACCCCCTTCCCCAATCAGGGGCAGCCTCCCTATGGGGCGGAACCCTCTGCCCATATGCCTATTGCTAGCCTAATGCCATCTCCCACCCGCCAACCCAGGGCCAACCTTGCTGTGGACTTCTTGTGCTTCAGGAAGCCCCGCTACCTGTAGGGCGGGGGGGGGGGGGCTACTCTGACGGGTCCGACTATCACAATGGCGGCTCTGGCGGCTTGTAGGGCGGGGGCTTCGCACTCTGGCGCCTTTGGCGGCTCTGGCGGCTTTGGCGGCTCTGGTGGCTCTGGTGACAACGATGACAACGACGATAGTGAGGATGACGATGACCATCACCACGACGACCACTACGATTCACACCACAACAATTCTTACCACAGCAATCCACACCACGTCATCTCGCTCCACAGCAACTCGGATCATGGCAACTCATCATACGGGCATGACGACCGCACTGCAAACCCCTCCGCTGACTTGTCAGCTGGGGCGGCTTGGAGCAACAGGCATGGGACGAATTGTCTGTATAAGCAGATTTCGTTGGGCAAACACCACTATGCTGCCGCCACTGGCGCTCGTGCTGGTGCCGGTACCGGTGCCGGTGCTAGTGCTGGTATAGGGAAGGGATTGACGAATGCTGACTGGTGGACAAGGAAATCTGCCGCTCAAAAAGCTATTTTGGGAGGCTAATTTGTCTTTCGTGGTAACTTCTAATGCGAAGACAGAGTTGTGGGCGTATGTGTCACAGTCACTAACCACTGTGCTAAAAGGGCTTTCAAGTAGCGGGTCGGCACGCCCATAGCCCCCTAGGCATAAAGGCGTGTGGCCATTTATGAAGTATCAGAATGCCACTATTAACGACTAATTGTTTTCAAGATCCTCATGAGCTGGCTTGTAGTTTGCCGTGGGGCGCTTGTACGGAGGTTTCTTCTAAAGCTTCGTGCCCAAGCTCACTTGGCAATGGCACGGTGTTCTGGAATTTCGTTGACCACAACCCCGTGTTTAGCCGTGCTTTGGTTATAAATGACAACTACCGAACATCCACAGCCAGACCGTCGTGCCAGCGCAGAGATGGAGTAGCGTGGAAATTGCGGTGAGGCACATGCTCATCGGTCTACCCTTCTTCGTCGCGAGATTTAACGACGAGATGTTGAAGCCGTTCGATTAGACGACGAAAGCAAATTATAGTAACTAGCTGTCGTCAGCACTTTCGTCTTCCTCACAGAAACTGGTGAAATTGCTTGACGAGCGCGTTCCACGAGCGGGCGACCACCGAGCCACACTGGTCGGTGACCAAACAAAACAGTTGGCCAATAGAGGCTCACGACAGTTGTCTTGTGTGCCCTCGCCTCACGACCACCACACCACACCGGTTCGCCGAGCCTCAATCTTGAACCCAGCCAGCTTTCCACACGAGCAGACACACCCCCAGGCGTGGAAACAACACGTGTAGCCGCGACGCGCAATCACCGAAGCACTGCGTCGCTACTGCTGCTGCAGGGGCTGGTGGTTTTGTTATGCTTCGCTGTTCGTTACGTAAGGGGCGCTCCTATCATTGTCAGCCACAATCCACTCCCATCCACTCCTCCACTATCCTGGCTTATCATCTCAGTGTTCTCCTCACAGCGAACCGTTCAGTACCTCCCTGCTCAGCTCAACCTCCTCCCCTCTCCTCAAGCCACCCGACCAAACCTGCCGAACCCTCTTCGAGATATCGTTGTCGCCGTGGCAGCCCGGTGTCACTCATAGCCTTCCCTCCACTCCATCTCCATTCGCATCCCACGTCCGTCGCCCATTCGCATTCCAACCCCGCCTCACCGCACTCCACCCCACCCCACCCACTACCGACCAGTCCCCCATCTACCCCCTCGCCATGGCCGTCAGAGCACGCGAGCCGCGCGGCACGAGGCTCATGCGCCTCTGCGTCGCGCTCCTCCTCATCGCCGCGGTGCTCGCCGACAGCGCCGCCAGCGCCGGCGCTCAGCCGTCGCCTTCCCCCCAGAAGTCCCAAGGCCTCCTCAACCGTCTCAACGGGTGGCGCCTGAAACACTCGCGCAAGCCGCCTCCCACTGGCGCTGCCGGTGCTGCTGCTACAGCCGGAGCAGCCGCTACAGCCGGCGCGAAGGCGCTGGTGACGCCTTCCGCGACCTGTCAGGCGTCGACGCTCGCGGGATACACGAGCTCCGTGGACCTCTCGGGCAACGGGTGAGTGCATCCCGATGTCGAGGGTTTAGGGACGAGAGGGATGAGAGGGATGAGAGGGATGAGAGGGATGAGAGGGATGAGAGGGATGAGAGGGAAGAGAGGGATGAGAGGGATGAGAGGGATGAGAGTAGTGGTGCAATTGTCGCAGAGGCTCGTTCCGCCTGAAATTGCCGGCCGTGCCGTGTCACCCTTTCCACACTGTCCGACTTAATATCCCGCCACGTGCATTTGCCCGCCGCTAGTGCTTTCGCTGCTTATCCTCACGCCTCTTCCGCGCTTCTCCTTCCTCCAGACTGGTCCTCCACTGGAAGAAGTCAACGGGGTCAACGATCGACCTCGCGCTCGAGGCCAAGTCAACGAGCGGCGCGGCGAGCGGGTGGTTCTCTGTGGCGTGGACCAACGGCGGCATGTTCAACTCGGACGCCGTCATCGGGAACATCGCCACGGGGACCGGCGTCGGCACGTACGCGATATCCAGCTACTCGAGCGTGGTTACCACGTCGCGGTTCACCGTCACTGCCGCGAGTGTTACAACGTCGGGCGGGAGCACGATCGCGAAGTTCACGCGATCGACGGGCGACGGGATCGTGGCGGTGAACGTGGCGGGGAGCAACAAGCTCGTGTGGGCCTACTCGTCTGGCGGCTCCAAGACCGTCGCCAACCACGGCGGCAGCCACAGGTCAGCCCATTCCCCCGGGTCTCAGATTGACTCCCGTTGCACTCCATTCCTACCTACTCTGCTCGCAATGTATTCGTTCCGTCTTTACCGACTCGGGAGTCTACTACGGCTGTCCTCACTCCCCTCCTCTCTCTCGTCTCTGTCTCGTTTCCTGACCCCCAGAGGCTCCAAGACCGTTGATTTCTCCTGCGACGGCACGTCCTCAGGCTCGGGAACAGGCACGGGAACAGGCACGGGAACGGGCTCGGGCACCGGAGCAGGGACGTGCACGGGCAACACGGGCGTGAGCGGCACTGCATGCCCTGCGTCCACTCTCTGCGGCTACTCCTACCAGGCCCAAATCAAATCCGGGTACGCGGACGCAGAGCCCTAGTCTAGACCACCCCCCCCCCCTCCCTTTTACATTGCTCGCCGCTCTGACTGCTTGCGTCTTCGTTTGCTTTGATTTGCCTCCTCCTCCTGATCTGAGTCGGTCCTCTCCTTCCCTCTTCCCCCCTCCCCCTTCTCCCTTCCCTCAGCGTGCTGCTGCACTGGAAGGTGGTTTCGGCCACGCAGCTGGACATGGCTGTCGAGCTCAAGAGCAGCAGCGGCGCCAGCAACGGGTGGTTCGCACTCGGCTGGGCCAACGGCGGCTCCATGGCTCCCTCTGACGCTGTCATCGGCAACAGGGCAGGCGGCCTTGTCAGCCCATACCGCATCACAGGCTACACTATGAGTTCGTTACAGGGCGCCTCGTTTAGCATTGGCAGTGGCGCGGGGACTGTGACGTCCGCCACCGGCTCCACAGTGATCCAGTAAGTATAAGCAGCGAGCTTCCGTACCTCCCACATATCTTCTGCATGTGACATGTTTCACCTCTATTTTACCTTTCTCATGCTGTACACATATTTCCTCTCGTGCTCCGATGCGATATCTTCAGTTCAGTGTCTTCCAGTGCATCCAGCCATCACGTTTATTCTTCGTACCCAGACTAACGAAATGCCTTATCCCCCCTTTGCTTGGTGGTCAATCAGGTTCTCGCGCACAACTGGCACGGGGTCCATTCCCATCAAGATGAGTGGCGTCAGCCGTCTCATCTGGGCTCACTCCAACTCCAACTCCAAGACCCTTGCGTTCCACGGCGGCGCAGAGTGAGTGTCCCAACGCTGGCTCTCCAAGACCCTTACTTATAATTCAAGACCCCTCTGCATCCTCATTGTCCTGGACTTCCTTGTTCTGGTGTCTGTCTCCCCATCTCACCACCCTTTCTCTCTCTATCTCTCTCTCTCTCTCTCTCTCTCTCTCTCTCTCTCTCTCTCTCTCTCTCTCTCTCTCACTCTCTCTCTCTCTCTCTCACTCTCTCTCTCTCTCTCTCTCTCTCTCTCTCTCTCTCTCTCTCTCTCTCTCTCTCTCTCTCTCTCTCTCTCTCTCTCTCTCTCTCCCTCTCTCTCCCCCCTTGATCCTTCGCAGTGGTAGCATGTCTGTGGACTTCTCTTGCGCAACTGCCCCGTCGTCCGGCGGTGGTGGTGATAGCGAGGGCGGCGATAGCGAGGGTGGCGATGATCAGGGCGGTGTTGACTCGGGGGAGGGCGGTGGTTCAGGCTCGGGTTCCAGTGGGGCTTTCCTCTCGCAGCTCATAGCTTGGCTCGGCTCGCTCTTCGGCTTCCGCAAGTAGTGGACGTACACTGCACACTGCACACCACATAATGGACGCAGTCCCTTGTGTTTGTTGGTGGTGGTGATTATCAGGAGAAAGAGGTGGAGCGAGTGGAGTAGTGTAGCCCAAAGCAGTTGGCTGGACCACAGGCATCTTTTGGAGCTGTGAGAGGGACTGCACTTTACAGCCTAAAAGCTGGTTGTGATGCCTTGCCTTGCGAGCCATCTATGAGTGGCCAATTTTCCATCTTCAATTGTACCGTAATCCCCCGTATATAACACCCTATGGTGTATATAAAAATTCACTAAAAAAATGACTGGGTGTTAATAGTGGCCCGGAAAAATATAGTGCCCATGTGTTATGTTTAATGCAATATGAATTTGAGTGTTTCAGGCCATGTGTGTTCACAAATGCGCGGAGAGACTTCTTAACGTAGAATTGGATGTCGAGAGAAAAACGTACAAGGGTATAAGCCTAAGTGTTGTACCCTCTAAGATACGAACCTATACAGTCTATGTCAAACATAACTTATGCAGTTACTGTAGACTATATATGATTGTGCCTTAGTGGGTACAGCTCACCAATCTATATTGCCTTGTATCTCCCCATTCTAGTCATTATTCATTCTGATATGGTATCATAGTAGGTTAGGTCCCCCCCCCTAGCCCGCCCACACTTCCGCCCCTAGGCCCTAGCCGCCGTCTTGCCCCGCTCCTAGCCGCCCCCCTGGCCGTCGCGCCCGTCCCTAGCCGCCCCCCTGGCCATACGCGCCCGCCCCTAGCTGGCCCCCCGGCCGTTCGCGCCCGTCCCTAGCCGGCCCCCTGGCCGTCGCGCCTGACCCTAGCCGGCCCCCTGGCCGTCGTGCCCGTCCCTAGCCGGCCCCCTGACCGTCGCGCCCGTCCCTAGCCGGCCCCCTAGCCGTCGCGCTCGTCCCTAGCGGGACCCCTGGCCGTTCGCGCCCGTCCCTAGCCGGCCCCCTGGCCGTCGCGCCCGACCCTAGCCGGCCCCCTGGCCGTCGCGCCCATCCCTAGCTCGTCCCCTGGCCGTTCGCGCCAGCCCCTAGCCGGCCCCCTGGCCGTCGCGCCCACCCCTAGCCGGCCCCCTGGCCGTTCGCGCCCGCCCCTAGCTGGCCCCCTGGCCGTCGCGCCCGCTTCTAGCCGGCCCCCTGGCCGTCGAGCCCCTCCTAACCGGCGCCCTGGCCGTTTCGCGCCCGCTTCTAGCCGGCCCCCTGGCCGTCGAGCCCCTCCTAACCGGCGCCCTGGCCGTTTCGCGCCCGCTTCTAGCCGGCCCCCCTGGCCGTTTCCGACCGCCCCTAGCCGACTCCGTCGCCATCGCGGCCGCCCCTAGCTGTCGTCGCGGCCACCCCTAGCCGTCGCAGCTGCCTCTAGTTGCCGTCTTGGCCGTTTCCCGCCGTCCCATGGTCGCCCCTAGCTGTCGCGCCTGCCCCTAGTCGCCGTCGCGGCTGTTCCTAGCCGCCGTCGTGCCTGCTCCTAGCCGTCGCGCCCCCCCCTAGCTGCCGTCGCGGCCGTTTCCAGCCGGCTCACAGCAGCCCCTCGCCGTCGCGGCCGCCCCTAGCCGCCGTCGCTGCCATCTCCAGCCGCCCCACGGTCGCTTCTGCCGTCGCGGCCGCCCCTAGCCGCCGTCGCGGCTGTCCCTGGCCGCTGTCGCGGCCGGCTCTCCTCGCCGTCGCGCCAGCTCCTAGCCGGCCCCTGTTGCCGCCAGCCCGCCCCTGCATTCGCGTCGTCGCCAGCCCGCCGCCGCCTCGGGTTCGGCCCGTTCTTCCTGATCAGCACCGCCCTGCGAACCCCCCGGTACCGTACTGCACAGCTTTGTACCACACTGCACCGCTTTGCACCGCACTGCACCGCACTGTACCGCACTGCACCGCACTGTACTGCACTGCACCATATTGCACCGCACTGTCCCGCACTGCACCGCACTGTGCCGCACTGTGCTGCACTACACCGCACTGCACCGTCCTGCACGGCTCTAGACTGCCCTCTATTCTCAATGATGGCGGCGGTGCTTCGCTTTGACGCTGAGGGCCAGCCGATTGAGTTTGATGCGTGGCTTGCTGACCTCCGTCGCCACCTCACTGGTCAGCGGCAGGATGGCCACTCGCTGTCTGTCCATCTTGACAGTACCCTCCCCTGCCCTGACCCCCTCGCTGCCCTATCTCCTGACCCCTCGTCCGCTGAGCGTGAGTCCGCTGCGGCCGCTGCCCTTGCTCGCTCTGTCTGGCTGTCCCGTGACGCTGTCGCTCAGCTTGCCATTAGCAATGCCCTCCCCCTGTCCGAGCGACCTCGCTTCAGGTCTATCACCACTGCCCAGGCTTTCCGAGATGCTGTTGTCCAGCGCTATTCCACCCCGCCTGCTGCCTCGATAGGTCGTCTGATTCTCCCCATGCTCTTCCCTGACCTTGCGTCGTTCCCCACTGTCGCTGACCTAGCCGCTCACCTGCGCACTATCGATGAGACCTGACGTGCTGCCTGCACTGCCAGATAGCTTCTAGCCCACCAGCTGCCCCTCACGTCTACTCTCTACCTGCTAGCCACCCGCCTCCCTGACCGTCTTGCCACTGCCCATGACCACTTCCTTAGCGTCCACCCCGCAGACCTCACCCTTACAGACTTTGTCGACACCCTGTCCGCTATAGAGGCCTGCCACCGCTCTATCGCTCAGACCAGCGGTACTGTGCCGGTCCCTATCTTTCAGGGTTGCGCCCCCGCTCAGTGCACCTTCTCCGACGGTTTTGCTGCTGTGGCTGAGACTGCCGCTGCAGAACAGGTCCGTCCGGGGAAGGGCCGCCGCCCCAAGGCTGGGCGTGGCGGCGGGGGTGGGGGTGCAGGTGTAGGTGGTGCTGGAGCTGGGTCTCCTGGTGGTGGTGCGGACGAGGGGACCCTGACATGTGCAGCCGAGCAGCCGTCTCAGCAGCCGTCGGTGTTGCAGCCGGACTCGCGTCAGCCACAGCAGCCGCAGCAGTCACAGCAGCTGCAGCAGCAACAGAGACGGGCGAGTGGTCTCCCTGGGTGGCCTGGCGCTGGTGGTAGCGCTGGACGTGGTGGTGGTGCACGTGGTGGGCTGCCGGGTGGTGGTTCGGGTGACGCGCGTTGTCAGTACCTGCTCCAGACCGGTCCTCACCGTGGCTTCGTTTGCGATAAGATCGGTCACACCTCTGTCCGCTGTTTCCGTCGCTTGGACGACCTGTTTCGTCAGCGCTTCGGCCCGTCGGCCGTGCTCCCAGACTGACACAGCTTGCTTTGACGTAGGGTTCAGATTTTTGATCTGGATATGGATGAGATTGTTACTGCTCTTCATGTGATGTATGCTGATGACTCTAGTGTGCTTCCGTCTTATTACCCCTTGTTGCCTAGTGTAGGCGTGCCTTGCTTAACCTCCCCTGCTGCGTCAGGCGTAGGATCCCCTGCTTTGTTTAGCCTTGGTGCTTCCGTCGCTGCTTCGCCTCCGGCCGCCACTGCCGCGCTCTCCTTCACCCTCGACTCTGGCGCTTCCCAGTGCTTCTTCCGGGACTCCACCACGTTGACACCGCTTCCTGTCCCTGCTGTAGTCTATATTGCTGACCCCTCCTCCGGCCCTGTAGTCGCCCGCAGTTCCACCACCCTCCCCTGCCCGGCGGTTCCTTTGGGCTCGCTCACAGGACTGCAAATCCCCTCGTTCTCCAGGAACCTAGTTGGTGTCGGCTGCCTTCAGGATCTTGGCGTCACCACTACGTTCCCTGGACACGAGCGGTACGTTGTCTGTACCGAGGCCGCCACTGGTGCCCCCCTGTCCACATTCCCCCGGGACCCGGTGTCCGGTCTTTTCACACTGGACATGGTGACCCCCCCGGCTCGGACCCCCCCTCAGGTGGCTGCGTCTCCCCCGGTTGCTGCTGCCTGCTCCTGTCGGTCTCTCACCCACCCGACTCTTCTCTCGCACCACCGTCTAGGTCACCCTGCGCTCCCGCGTCTGCATCACATGTCACCGCACGGTCTCGTCCTAGGCCTCCCTGGTTCGTTCCCTGAGTTTCCCTCCTCCCCTGCCCCACCTTGCACGCCTTGTGTCGAGGGTCGGCTCCGCCGTGCTCCTCACTCCTCCTCATTTCCCCCTACCGCCGCACCGCTACAGACTCTGCACATGGACGTTTGGGGCCCCGCCCCCGTCCATGGGCCGCGTTGAGAGCGCTACTTCCTAGTGCTTGTCGACGACTACACGCGCTACACCACGGTGTTTCCCCTGGAGCGAAAGGCCGACGTGCCTGATATTCTCATCCCCTGGCTTGTCTCTGCGCGTGTCCACCGTGGTCTCCCTGTCTTGCGTCTCCACTCCGACCGTGGTGGCGAGTTTGCCTCTGGTGTCCTTGGTTGTTTCTGTCGTGTGGAGGGCATCACCCAGACGTTCACCTTGCTGGACTCCCCGCAGCATAATGGGGTCGCTGAGCGACGCATCGGTTTGGTCATGGAGGTGGCTCGCACCTCCATGATCCATGCCGGTGCACCCCATTTTCTGTGGCTGTTCGTCGTTCGCTACGCCGCTCACCAGCTTAACCTGTGGCCGCACCCCCAGCAGCCTCAGGTTTTGCCGACCCTTCTTTGGTCTCGGTCCCCTGGTGACGCGTCTGCCTTTCACGTCTGGGGCTGCCTTGCTCACGTTCGTGCCTCTGGCACGGACAAGCTCACTGCCCGCACCCTTCCCTGTGTCTTCCTCGGTTTCCCCCTTGACGCATATGACTGGCACTTCTACCACCCGTCGTCTCACCGGTTCTTTCACTTGCGTGACGTCGCCGTTGACGAGTCCGTCTCCTTCTACCGCCGCTTCCCCCACCGAGGTCCCCCGGTTACCCCCCCCCTGTTCCTCGTCATCCCTTCCCTGGTCGTTGCCGCCCCTCCTCCTCCCTCTCCCCATCCTGCTCCCTCTGGTGTGTCCCACGTCACCCCACTTCCGTCGGTTGTCCCGGTTGAGGAGTCTGCTGACTTTGGTGGTCCTGCGTCGCAGTCCTCGCCGCCTGCCCCTTCTCAGGTGTCTCCTCCTCCGCCGCCTCCGCAGCTGCCGTCGCCACCGCTGTCGCAGCCGTCGTCCCCGTCGCCACCGTCGCCGCAGCCGTCGTTGCAGCCGCCGCCGCCGCAGCCGTCGCCGCCGCAGTTCGTTGCCTCTGGGGGTGCTGGAGTTGGGGTGGGTACTAGTCCTGGGACTCCTGTCGTGGCTTGTCCCGGCGGGCCTGGGGGTGGTACCGGTGCTCGAGGGGTTCTGAGCTCTGGGGGCACGGTATTTACACCCACTTGTTCGCAAAACGTTTGCAAAGCATCCGCACA